TTTTTTTTTTGCCTTCACCACTCCACCACAACTATTTTCATCAATAACATTTCACGTTATTAAATCTAGTGATCAATTTCCAGACTTTGTTTTAGTTGTTCTATTAACAGAATTGTATACCACTGATTGTGCCTTTCTTTGACCTATTTTCTTCCCTGGTTTCAGAACACCACACTCCCTTGGTTTTCCTCCTACCTCAGTGGTCATTTTCTCTTAGTTTCTGTTGATGGAGTTCTCCACAGTTCAGTCCTTGGAATATCTTCTTTGCTCTATCAGCACTTACTCCCTTAGTTACCTCATCCAGTCTCATGGCTCAAAATATCTATAAGATGAATGAAGTTAAGAAACACTTTGTAGTCTATGATGGAATTAGGAGTTTTCTGTTTCAATAATATATATCCTCGATCTTTGCATGGAAAAGATCTAGAAACAATGACCAAATGAGTACCAATAAGTGCAACTAGCATTGCAACCCTGTAAAGAAAAAAGGAACCATAGCTTCTTCATATGTCACTGTTACCAGGACTAGGGATGTAAGATGGGCCTGAAATGTTTTGCCACACCTAGAAGCAAGAGGCCTTGAAGATTGGGTTGTGCCAAAAAGACTTGGGAGGCAAGTTGAATAAGCTCCTGCTTGTTAAATACAGGAAATCTGGAATATCAATAAGAATAACTAAAATGATCAAAATATATAGATGTTTGAATTCATGAATTCACATAATAACAGTACAAGCAAAATCACATGGTCAACTTTGGATGTTTCTAAGGTACCACTTCAACACATTTAAAACTGATACTTTGGGGGAAAATTGTGCATTGATCCTGCTTTTCCTGTTCATTATGTTCATTAGAATTATTAAAGCAGGGAGACAAATTTCTTTCTATAGAAGTATTCAAACTTCTATAAGAGGGGAACTGGAATATCATAATTTTTAAACCCTTGTTGAATTAATTCATTAATGAATTATAGAAGGTAATGGTCATCAATGACCAATAATATCACAAAAAAGAAACCGCCATCTTGATGGAAGTTAGAATCTTGTTGTAAACTACCCCCTTTGAAATAGCCTTCCTCCTCACTTCCAAAAAACAAACAAATAAACAAACAACTAATCTTTTGTTTTCCACTATCCAGCCCATGTTTTTTTGCCCTCAGTCAGCCCTTCAGCTAGGTGAGGTTTATTACTGATGGGGTGACACCAAGCTTCATTACAGAAGGACGAAGGTCCTTAATGATCCTGCCTTTATGGGGTTGCTCTAGTTTGTCACTTTGCTTACTATTTGATATGGTAGTAAATGCTCCACAGAGAATCCTCTGGTTTCCAAATACAATCTTTCTTGCCACTATTTTATAACAGAATCCATTTTCAGCTTGATCAGTTGGAATTGATTACTTCCTCTCTTGATGGCTCAGTGACCCCAGAGAAAAAAATGGCCAGAAGGTAGCCTCAATTCCAGGGTTATGGAAACATCACGTCCTCTGGTAAAAATATCCATCACTTGTAAACTACTTACTCTAAACAAGCAAGACCAAAAGTTTAAGAGATAGGAAGCAAAATAATTGATTATTAGGTATAATAGTGAGGGGAATAATTCCTACTTCCACCCCTTAATTCCAATGTTTATGTATTCTCTCGATAGGACAAACAGCAAGATATAATGAATGGTAGATGGTTAAGACTATATGTTGCCTTGCGTCAGACCACATCTGAACCATGCTGAGGTTACAGCTGGCACTCTAACTCAATTTTCGATAGGTTGTTCCAACAGTCTCAAAACTGGGTCTTTCTTGCTTTCCCCATTACCATTGCTGGCTTTACAGTTGAACCCCGAATTCCATTATGCATATGTTTCCATTATGTGGAACAACTGTGTGGCCCTCATGTCTTTATTATCTTCACTGTATTTCTCATCTTTTTCTTGATTTACGGAAGACAGAATTATAGTCCCCAAAGATACAGCCCCTACAGTCCCTAGGAAACTGTAAATATGTTAAGTTACATAGCAAATGAGACTTTTCAGCTATAATTAAAAACTTAAAAATAGGGAGATCATCTTGGATTACTTGGGCCCAATATAATCACATGGGCCCTTAAACCAGGGGACTTTCTCCAGCTGGAGGCAGAGAGGATGTGTCAGGAGAGGATGTGTCAGGAGAGGATGTGTCAGAAGAGGAAGTCAGAAAGTCTCAAAGTATAAGAAGGAATCATGTGCAATTGCTGTTTTGAAGATGGGGGTGGGTGAGAAGAACAATGTCAGGAGGAATATAGGTGACCTTAAGAAGCAGAGAGAGGATCCCAGAGGACAGCCAACAAAGAAGTGGGGACCTCAGCCCTGTGGACACAAGGAACTGTGTTCTGCCAACCTGAATGAGCTTAGAAGCATTTTCTTCAGACTTTAGAGAAGAGCCCAGGCTGGCAAACATTTGACTTTAGTCTTGTGAGAGACCCAAACAGAGAGTTCAGCCAAGTCCATCTGGACTTCTGACCAACAGAGCTGTCAGCTAATAACTGCATTGTTTTAAGTCACCAGGCTTGTGATAACTTCTTATGGCAGACACAGAAAAGTAATACATCGTCGTTAGCTACCTTGAAGTCCCTGAAGACCAGCTCTTCAAAGAATTCACCTTTGGCATCTAGCAAAAAAAGCTAGTCAAATTGACAACAAAACAAAGAGCTGTACCCCGCCTCCACCCCACAAGTGCTAACTACAGAGTATGAAGCAATACCCTCCTCCCCACCCCCCATCCAGTTCGGTCTGGTCCCAGTAGCTCAGAGGATACAAACAGCATGGACAGCTCGAGAATACTTCCAATCTGACAGGTTTCAGCAGACGTGAACCTGGGGTTCCTTTCTTAAGCCAGTAACGATGTCAGGAAGAATGATCAGGATACGAAGCAGCTCCAGAACTATTAAAATAAGCAAGACTACTGCTTAAAACTATCCTAATAAGCAGAAGGTTTTCTAAGTATTTAAGAGCCAATTTCATTTGTTTTTCTTTTCCTTGGTCAGGGTGTGTTGTCCATATCCCAAGCTCTACCTCATGCGTTCAGCAGGTGTTGTAGTGATCCTTAGAGCTAGACACAGTCATCTGATCTCCGAGGTTTTCTGTTTCAGGCAGTGGCTGTGGCCACTCCTTTCCTCTGGCCTGGATCCCAGGCTCCAGTGGAACCTACCCATTATCCCCCTCTTACCCTACCATGTAAATGTTTTGGTGCTAACTATTCGATTAGAGAGACAGGACACAGCATAGCTGCAGGAAGTTAGATGGAAGTTAACATGGTCTCACACAAGACCGTTTCTGACAGCACCTAACTGCACAAAAGAGATAAAGAAAGGTTCAGACGGGACTACCCAGCTATTGCCTCCCTTTCATTGAGGACTGCAGCATCATCATAAGAGGAAAGTCCTGGAGGGATAAAATCTACAACTACTGAAGACAGTCATTCTTGCCCTGTTGTACTGTGTATCACTGGAAGAGTGTGTGTGTGTGTGTGTGCATGTGCGCAAAGGGCGAAATAAAATATATGTAGGCAGAATATGTAAATACTCCACTGATATGCCTAAGACATAGAAATAGAAGTGATAAGTGCTTGGTTTCTCTGGCTGGGGGATAGTTTGGGGCCAGAGTGAAGAGGGCTTTGAACATCCCAGGCTTAGGAGTTGGGATTTTGTCTTAGGTAATGGGGAAATCAGTATATGTGAAGAATTAATTCCTTGGGAACTTTGGGTAGAAATTACATTTTGCTTTTGTTTCTGAGGACTATATTTGAGTTAATTAAAACACTCTGATGTTTTGAATCATTCAAAGCTTTCCAAGCCTGTTCAAACACACAGAACAAAAATAATTCTGAGTCTGTACAACTAAATATCCCATGTATTGGGCATCCATAGACAGTCTTTATAGGATAAACAGTAGCATTTACAGGATAAATAGCAGCACTGTGTATTTTATAGGACCCTGAAACTGAATGCCAGAAATTTGAGTGCCTTGGTTTTGGTGCTATCTGATTAAAGACAGGACAGAGCTTAGCTGCAGAAAGTTAGATGAAGATTCACATAGATAAGAATTCATCAGTGATAGGGAGGGACATGTGACCATTGGCATTGAAGCCCTCAAGAGTCCTTGGAAATTATAGGAAGGCCAATGGTTGTCACACTACAGCAGAGGCTGGGTCCAGCCACTTTATTTAGATATGAGAGGAAACAATGCCTTCAACAGGCTGGATGGAGGACTTGGGTTGAACAAATAACTACATCAAACATGATACCACAGAATTATATTTATATTATACATTATCTTCACATTGTAATATCCACATCGCATCATCTGTGACACAAGGCTAATAATCTTCGAGTATGTATTTATGTAATATTAATACATATATAAAACCAAGAGGCACTTCCAGTAAATCTGGCAAAAAAGGAGCATCATTATAGTGTCTAAGCCAAAAAATAATAAAAATAAATACAATTTATCTAATATTTTTTCTGTACAGATTCTACTTTTTACAAAACATTTATCAGCCATTAACTAAGTCACTTAACAAATGCTTGTGATAGGATGATACAAAGTATTGCTACATATATTAAGTGCAAGACACAAGTGAGAGGAGAGATTTATTTTTCAATTGCAAAATGATCACTTAAGTCCAATGTCTCACTCTTGGGTTTTTAAAAATTGATAAATTTGAAAGTTATTAATAAACATATTCAGTTGTTGAGAGTGGTAAGAATTACATTATCATATACAAATGACATCCCTCCTACACTGTTACTTTGGTTGGCAGTTATTTGAAAATATTGCTTTTTAGAAATACTAAATTAAGTTAATCCAATACACTCTGGTTTACAAATATCCTGCACAGTCAAATATTTGAGACATGTTGACTTTAACTTTCCAAAGACAGTTTTATGTCAGGAAGAGATAACAACTGATCAGAACAACTTGCCCCATCAGGAATCAACACATTTTAACATCAAACACTGAATCAAATTAACCAAACTGACCAAAACGAAAAACACTCTGAATTCCAATTAAAGTTCTTTCAGTTACACATCATTATAGAAAACCAGGCAGAATTTCATTTTCATTATTTTGCAATGAGAGTTTCAGAATTTTATAAAAGCACCAATTTTTATTTTATAACTTGCATGATAAAAATCTCTGGGAAGAAATAACAGGGGATGGGCGGGTTCAGTGATATTTATTTCCAGTGCTTGTCAACTAACAAACTGTCCTTGTTGGAATGAAAATGGTATGAGTTCTTCTGTGGATATATACTAAGAAATAAACTACACTCATAAATGGAAAAAAAAAACACAGTTAAGCAAACATAATACAGCAAAAATCCCATGCAAATATTGTACAGAGTATTAAAAATAGTGATTTTTAAACTAATGAACAAATATATACTAAAGTTTAAGCCATTTAAATCCCACTAACAGGTAATATTATATATATATAGATATGTTAGGGTTATTATTTAAAGATAGTAACACTATAGTACTGGGTTATGCTTATAAATAATTAAAACAAAGTATCTGTTATCATATAGGCTTTCTGAGTCATAAAAATAATCAGTTAATTTTTAAAAGAAAGGTAATGGGAAATTGGGAAATTCTATCAGCCAACAAATTATATACAGAAAGAAAACATCTTTAAACACTTACTTTTAATTTCACTTTGAACCATGTGAATCGTTTTCTAGCTCTAGTAAAATCACTAGAATTAACAGCAACAAAATAAAACTTTCTCTTCCAAAGATATTCAAGCAGCAGTTTCCAAGCTCCAAGAGCTAATTCAGATTCTGAAACATGTGCGAGTGCTGATCGTAATAAAGAAAGTCAGGGTTGAATTATGAATTCATTACGTCCCTTTACTCCAGCGTAACTGATAACTGAATTCTCTTAAAATGGCGCGGTCCTGGGATGAGCCTTGAAGTTTTATGTAGTGTTCACTCCCAATCAACAGCTGTTTTTTTGGTTTTTGTTTGTTTGTTTTTGCTTTTTAGTACCATGAGCTACACAATGAAACTAGGTGTGCCCAATTAGAACTTAAGGTGAACAGCAATCTATTATGGTAGAGGAGGGTATCTGATTATTTTTCCTTTATTAACCTTGAGCTACAGAAATAAAATGAAGGAGAAGCCATGCTTTTTTTTCTTTTTTAAGAGGACAGGAAAAATTCCATGCTGTACTTTGTTTCATTTGAAATAGGTATTTCTACTGACACAAAATTTAGTTAAAGCATTAAAGCTTTAAAAATATATTTTGATGAATTTCTATTTATAAATTTCAAATTCCAACCTACCACTTAATCACTCTTAGGAGATGAATGCAGTGGGTGTGGTTTATTGACTGGTCAGTGTTTCATCTGTGAAAATCAAGATTAATAAGGTTTAATATTTCTTAATAATTAAGATAAGTATTTAGGTTTTCAATTGCATTAGAATTTAGTAAAATATAATCTACATTAATAGACCATTTATTTTAAAACAACCTAAAACATGATAAATTGTTGGATAGTACATTCCTTTTTCTTGGGGTAACTCAGAAGAACTCAGACTATAATTTGTACACTTAATCTGATTCAATTATTGGGAATAAATTTATTTTTCTCTATCTCATGTATTTATTGAAACTTTCACTAAACATTTTCATTGCTGAGGCATGAAGGACATTAGAAAAAGAAGTAAATATTCTTCTTTCCAGTTTTGTTACATAATACTAGTTCTGATTATATCAAAATATTTAGCATCTCTATACCATGGAATGTCATTTTGTGGACTTCATTTTAATTAAATAATAAAAAAATTAAAAGCTTGGTAAAAGCTTGGTTCAAAAAATAAATCAATTTTAAATATTCTTAATAGTACTTACATATGATGATAAATATTACTATCTGTTAAGAATTTTTGATTGAATTATTTGCATGATTAAAAAACACCTTCTTGATATGAAGCAATGAGGAAATCTCTCTGAATATAGACATGTCCAGTACTTATCAGTAGGAGGAGGCTTGCCTTTTCTTCTGTTTTCCACAACTCCTCAGAGAAGCAGAAATCCACGGAAACCAACATCTGTCAAAGTAATCAACCTTATTAGTATAAGATGGAGGAGAATTTAGATTCTTTTTAGAGCCTTAATCATATGTCAGAAGCCAATTTGTTTTCCATCTATACATTATTATTTGTCACATAAATAATTCACTTTTGGAAAGCAATCCTTTCATATAGTTTTTAGTCTTATCTACACTAAAGCAATTTATACTCGAACAGTCTTTTTAAGTCAGCAGGTTAATATTGAGTTCCAACAACAAAACAAAGCCTTAATCTTTAGCTTTGTATCTTCAAACATTTGAACAACAAAAAGCCCTATTACTTTTTGTCACCACTGTTCACCTGTTAGAATGACTTGATAGTCTGAACATAAAGATTAGTTCAGGTAATGTAAAAGCACACACAAAAAAGATAAAACTAGCATCATTTTAACAATTGAAATGTGTTAGGTAATAGCAAAAATTGCCTAACATCCATGGTACATAATAGACTGAAAAATGTTTGTGTTATTCTCTGACACAGTTCATTAGTGTGAAATATACAAATGATTATGGAAACCTTAATTTAAGATCTTTAACACATGGCTTATAGTTTAATTTACTCAGTACTTAAGTTTAATTAATTCACCCCAATTATATTTCTAGTTAGAATTTGAATATTTTCTAGAGGAACAAACTGATATGAATATAAGACCTAAAACTGGTATACTTCCCTCCGATTAGAAATTCTAAGAATAATTTAATTATGGAATGCTCTTCACCTAAAATGGCTAACCTGTGTCCTAATTTAAAGTTGCACATTGTTGACCAACTCAGAAAAATGGACTGACAATATCAAGAAGTTCATAATTTTACTTCATGGAGGAATCATGAGAAAAATGAATGACTTAGAACAAGGTCATATTTTCCCACCTGTTGGGAGATAAGGTGAATTAAAGAAACTCAGTTTGGTTTCAAAGTATAGCTACTTTAGCTCTCAATTATCTTGAATTGAGCTATTAGCATTTGAAATTTTATTGATTTTTTTTTCCCCACACACATTAGTGATAATCTCTAGAATAGGATAATTTTGATTTACTCTAGACTGTGAGAGTTTACAGAACTTTGTTTTGCTGGAGCCTTGTCAGTTTAAAAGGCAGTTTATTTCCAAAATGGCATATAAACAAGAAAAGGCATTAAATGGGAATCAGGATTAAGATAGAAAAACGATAAGACCCTCATTGTGGTTTTCATTATAATTTTAGAAATATTGAAAATGACAAGGACAGTGGAGATCCCCATATTGACATAGAAGCACCAAAAAGACCTCCCAGAGTAGAACAGAAGTGATATTTATCCTCTTCTCAGTGAGGTGTTGTTCGTCACACAAATAGTTCACTTTTGGAAAGCAGTCATTTCAAACTTTAGACTTTATTTACAATTATAATTTTCATATCTTTATTACTTAGAAAATAATTTATATTTTTTCCATCATTTAAACAAAGTATAGGCCTGAGTCTCATGCCTTGTGCACAGCTTTTACTTTCAAAAAAATTTCTCTGGGAAAGCGACAGGGACATCGGGAAATGGCAAACCAAGAGAGGCAGGGGACATGAGGAAATCGCAACACATATATGCACTATGAACATTCTGCATGAGATGCAATCCCTTTTCTTTAGTTTTAGTGGGATTAGGATTTGTTCTGGCATCCCATCAAAGTGGAACAGGCAGAACTGGGAATTCTGCTTTTAGGAAGTATTTTCTTAAACATAATATAAGGAAATTCCTTATCAGATGAAGACCAATATAGGTATATTTCTTTACAGAGCAACTGTATTCATCTTCTAATGAGAGCAAAACCAGGTCTTATACAAATGACAAAAATAAACTTTTATATTTAAGAAAAAAAAACCAAAACCAAAAACAAAACACTAAAGTGGTGTTTTCACCAAGGAAAAAAATATTCTAAAGGTTGGCTTTGATAACTGGAAAGACATTCTATCAGCACGCTGGAAATGACATGGATAACACTCATGGCATACCTGGTCTTCTCCTTAACAGAGCACAACCACTAGCATCAACGTTACCATTTCCAGCTTTTCCTACCATTGGTTTTATGGCTATCAATACAATTACCCTTTTCTCTAACGGGGCTAGAAATTCCTTCATTTGAAAGACCTGAGTTTATCTAATGGCACCTATAAATAGACTCATATAAAAATGTGGGCAATTGCAACAAATACACTTTTAAGGAATTAAGCTCTGGAGCTGGAAGTGAACACGGTAATATTGCTGTCGCCAAGGAGGCAGAGAACTTCATTAGCAAAAACAATCTTTTTACGTCCCTAAGTATCCTTCGGGATGTACTGGGTGTGTATGAAAGTCACATACTTAATGAACCTCCATTCCTTTATTTCAAATGACTTCTATCTTTAATATACTGGAAACTTATTTTTTAGAAAAAAATGATCAATTTTCCTAGACTGATGAACAGAATTACGGAATGAAGAGGTTCTGCTTTGGCCATCGTTACGTCATGCACTTCAAAACAAAACAAAAAACGAAACCAGGCAGTTTGCTAAGACCTCTGCTCTGGCAGCCAGGCCAGCCCTACTTGGGGCCATGCAACCTGGATGCAGCAGCCAATGCATAGTTATAGACTCACAACTGTTCTCCTGACAGCCTGTTTACTCCAACCTGAATGTTTCCTTGACTTATATCTATTTTAGAGATGTATGGCTTTTGGAGAAGGGGAAAAGATTAGATTTGTTAAGGAATTAGATACAAGGGGCATGTGAGAATAACTCCTGTGTTTTTTTGTTTTGTTTTGTTTTGTTTTTTTGTTTTTTCTTCTCTTATTTGCAAGGGAAGGAGAAGAGTTAAGTTCATTGGGGAAATGTATTTGACTCACAGTAACTTTTGCAAACATAGAGACACACAGGTAATACAAAGAAAATGGAAAAACATGCAGTAGTCCTAGATAATGAAGACCTGGTGTTAACTCAAAAAATATGCAACTCTTCTCACTATTTAGGTAGAGTCTGTATCAATTTGATCCTTTCCATATTTTCCTACTTATTGGGAAATTTGCCTTGAAACCATGTTTACTTCTGATTGTATTATCTTTGCCTTATTTGAAAATGCCACAGAGTATTGTAAATGCATTGGTTTGGAAGGGAAAAAATAACCATTTATGAGAAACAAAGGCATTTTTAGTGTAAACACTCTTCTGTGACTTCAGAGGAAATAAAAAGTAGAAATCACAATTAAGGTTTACTTAGAAGCTAAGATTGTTTAGATGATGAGCATAGAGTATAGAGTACTGAAGGAAGAGTTATCACCAAAAAGTGTTGGGAAGAAATAGACACCAAAGATAAGCATTCAGTGTGGGTTAAAAAAGTCTTTCACTTGGGAGTCATGGACCCAAAAGTTACCCAAAATTTAGGAAAAGTTACTAGTGAAAAACATTCGTTGCAGCATCCTCATTTAATTGGCACAAAATAACTGTATTAGATTATCATATATATTAGAATAGGTAGATAAATGGCTGTCCATAGACCTCTAATGCAAATGAATCATCACTCTCTTACTGGGCTTGGAGATAGCTTCAATGTATAAAAATGGTGATTAAAATATAACTTTATAAAAATGTTTCATTCCCCCTTTTTTAAAAAAAGCTTACTATCTACAGAAACAAAAAAAAATCTTTATATTTACATCAAGATAACTATTCATGACAAATATAATAATATGAAATAAAATATTGAAAGTGAGTATCAACACTTTAAATAGAGGTTTGGCTCACAGCATAAACAAGTGTAGATAAACAAACAAACCAAAAAAATAAAATAAAATAAAAAAAGACTTTCAATAATAGGCCCAGTCCCCCCAAATCCTTCTATAATCTTCCCTGCCAAGAGAAGCATGACATTAGGCCAGATTGCAGACAGAAGCTACCCCTCTCACACAGCATGTGGAATCCCACAACAGGGCTGGTCAGCGGGACCTTTGCCACCCAAAGCCAATCTTCAACAGTTGCCAAGAATCAGGCTTTCCTTACATCAACAAACACCAAATCCCAAGTTGAAAATTTCCCCTTCATCTCTCGCTTATGTATCCTGTAGTGGGCTTCTGTTTGCATTTCTGTCTTTTTTCTTTTACTACCACACACATTTTGCAGCAAGTTAAGACACGGAAGATCACTCTTAAGACAATTTCCCACATTTTCTCTGGAAAGCTTTTAGAGTTCTAACCTGATTAAAAGACCCGACTCCAGCTACTTCTTAGGTGTTTATGAATAAAGAATGCCATTCCCTTAAATGGTGATTGGATCTAGGCTGAGTGACAGACAGACATGCTCAGAGACCAACAGTTCCTATACATTCACGAGGCGAGTAGATTGGAAAATGTCTGTCTTCCAGGTTGAAGGCTGGTGATAGAGCGCCTCCAAGTGGTGTGTAGCAGTAGTACCAATCACGTGGCCCTTTCACCAAGCCCGTGAATACCCTCCCTCTGCAGAGACGTTTATTGAAACTAAATGGAGGAAGGCTTTTGGAATGGCTGCCTCTCTAAGACACTCCAGAGTAAACTTCCTTCTGTTTGTTCACATGTGCTGAGTCATCTGCTGCTGGAATTCTACCAACTACTAACCGCAAAAATCTCTCTTTACGTACACGCAAACATACATACACACAAGCACCCTTTCAATCCTATTTCTCTCTCATACACACACACACACACACACACACACACACAATGTTGGCAGGATGTATAAGAATTCAAATAATTCTCTGGAACTTTTATCCCTCAGTACTAAGAGCAAAAGCTTCTTAGTTGTAGCCTACATTTGCTGCACTGCTCCCCTGCTAAGCTGCACCATTTACTTTGTTTTCCTTTACTTTTCCTTTATGATTTATTATATCACAGTGACCACTATATATCTTACTATCAATGCTACTAAATTGTGGAGCCAGTAATCCTGGCTTTCAGTGTGTATGTGTGTGTGTGAAAATGTTTTACATGTATCTATGTGAGAGCTTATATATACACACACACAAATATATTTCTTCCTTAAAAAAAAAAAATCCTTACAAGCTGGTGTTGCAATGTGAAAGCTTCTCTGAGCAAAGAGTTTTTAACCATGTACCTCACTGTAAAAATAAACACATAAAATGCGAAGAATCCCAAAATGCAATAGCCATTTGCCCATCTTCTTGTATTTCTACAGTGTTGTGTCTAAGTGTTGTGCTGGCTTGAAGAGTCTGCGACAAGTCACTTGGTTTGGAAACACAGCTCATTCGATCCGTTGTCACTGGTTTGGGGTTAGGCTCTCCTCTCCTCTTGGCTTCCCTTTTTCTTCCTCTTCTTCCCTGATGGCCTGGATCTGTTCTGAGCAATGCTGCTGGGGAGACTGGTCCAGGGACTGATTTTCGATGCCTGCCAACCGCTGCTCCTCTTCAATGACTTTCTTCCACATCTGGTGGTTCTGTAGGAGGTGCTGAGTTATTTGGCAGTAGATTTTCCTCCTTTTGAAAGTTTTCTTTCCTGAGAAAACATCAAATTAAACTACTTATTTGTGTGCTAAACACAGAGTTATTTCTTTTCACATCATTAATAGGAGTTAACATGTATCCATATATGTTATATGGATACGTATAAATTTTATATATATATAATTTGATTTGTATGTTGTAATGATGTCGTTTTTGAGAGTGGGGAAGAGGAAGATGGCAGTAACCATTAATTACCATTGAGACATAACTATGAACCGTATTTAATATTTGTTAATGTCCAATACAATGATCTGTGTGTATCTTAGTATTACCCCCATTCCTTCAGACATAACTTTCTTGTTACATCTTCCTTTACTTTGTCAACCATTTCAACTCATAAGAGTCTAGACGATTGGTTTCATTAAAGATGGTTTTAAAGTTACTGTAATGTTTAGTTATATGGGCTAAAAACTTAATTTCACACTCTTCTCAAAGTTCTCCCACAAACTGGCACAGACACACTTTTGAACTCTTCCTCCATTTGCAGCCTGGAATCTATCTATACTTAACTGCTCTTTTCTGTATATACACTAAATTCTCCCATTTTCAAGCTGGTATTTTCAAGCCCCGTCTTCTGAAATGCTCTTCTCAGTCACTGAAAGTTCATGTTTATTATTTTGAGATCCAGTCAGATTTCACTGAATTCCTCTAGTAAGAAATAATCGCTCTCAAAAAAAAAAAAGAAAAAGAAAAAGAAAAGAAATAATTGCTCTCTCTCCTAAACTCTCTTGTGTCCATATATGCTTCTCAGAGTAGATTCTGTTTCCTGTTTTTGTTTTTGTTCCTTTCTCATTATCATTATCCTTGTTCTGGTAATTGCACATCCAAAATCATTTAGTGGAACTCTCATCTTTCCTTTTAGTTATGTAGTTCTGGAAAAGGCTGTCAAACTCTACTTCCCCATCCACCTCCTGATAACACATCTGTGTCACAGTGATTGGACTGTAAGTAGATACGTAACCCAAGTCAAGCCAGTTAGAGTCCTTCCCTGGTACTTTTGTGATTGGCACAGAATGAGTATGAGGTTGGGAAATGGGGACTGAATATTTTTTTTTCTCTGCTTGTGTATCTGGAATGAAGTGAACATAGAACTGGCTAGAGTTTCAGCTTCATGAAGAAAGCAAGGTTGAAAGAAGAAACTGTCAGGTACATGAGTCAGAGACAAGAACAGGAGCAAGTAAGCGAGCTCTGAGGCCAGCCAACATCATGTTCACATGAACTAATAATTTTCCCCTTTCCTATATACTCATGTGATTAGAGCTCTGTCACTTATAACTAAACCAATGTCCCAAATAATGTATATCCTTTAAGGTACTTATCTTATTCTCATATATTCCAGCTCCTTTAGTAGACTATGGCCTCTTGGAGGGAGCCTTGTATAGACCTGTACAGATCTTATACATGACAAGGTTTAGCAAATATGCACTTAATAAATAATTAGATTAAATTTTCTTGTGACCAAACAATTTAATGTTTTCAATATGGAAGTACTAAACATAGTTTTCACAGAATTGCATCTACTGATTGAGGAAGTGTGATCAAATCAATTTAAACGGAAGAAACATAAAATGTTTTAAAGAATTTGCATTGATGCCATAACTCACTATTAAGGCTTCCAATTCCTTATCTATTTATTAAGTATCTAATATATACCAAATGTGCCAGCATGTGGTGATTCACTGATAGACAAGGTGGATATAATGGTTGACATCACAGAGCTTTTGCTATAGTGGGAAGATAGAGAGTGAACAAATGGCTACCATTATACTGAGTCCTACAAAGACTTTGAAAGGCAGCAGACAGAGGGAAGTGACTCACCTGGAAGGATAGTGCATGACAATGGTGGCTTAAACTAAGGTGAAAAGATGCATAGAGGAATCAAAGACAACCTTGTACTACCTGGACCGAGCAGTTGAGTAGATGGTGGTACAATGTACTGAGAAAGGGAACATTAGATGAGGAGCAGATTTGATGGGTATGTTGAACATGAAGTATCTAGGAGGACTTCATGTGGAATGGTAAAGTAGGCAGCTGGTTTTGAGCTTAGAAGAGAGGTCTGTTCTTTTCTAAGCAACCAGAATATAGTGTAACCCTCAGTACCTTCATCTAAGTGACCACTTTAGACCTAGGCAAATAATTTAGAAATTAGGGTAAGAGCCTCCCTTTAGACTGTAAACCTCCCTACGGCCAGAAGGTTGTTTCCCTTTTGTGTCTATCTCCACAAAGCCCCAGACTTTAGTAAGTATCCAGGAAGAGTTCATTAAATGAGTTATGTTCTTCCTAGTGTCTGTTCCACAATCCCAGGTAAATGGTGAGGTGTTCATAAGTGATAAAAATGACAAGAACATGCAAAAATGGTTTATAGGAAATGCTGATCTAATTGAGATTTCATTAAAGCGTTAACAGTACAAGTTATCAGATGATCAGCAGGGATCTTCGGGTGTATTTACTGAAGTAGTAATGATTTACAATGTATAATCTGGAAAAAAGAAGAAGGAAAATGAGGAGGGGAGGAAAAGAAGAGGAAGAAGAGGAAGGAGGAGGAGAAAGTAACAATAGTCCAAAAAAAAAAAAAAAGGCAAGTGCTGTGAGATGGCCAACGGAACTAGATCTCTTGGAGGTCATAACCAAAATTTTTGTGGAAATGCTGGTGATTGTGTCAACGGTTTTATTACAATACACCACAGACATTCCTTGCACTTTATAGAACAAGATCGATTTTTAAAACACAGTTCAGAAAAAGGACATGAAATTAAATTATCTTGAATTACTTTAAAATCATGTAACAAAATTATTAAGTTGATTAAGTGTCAGAGAAAATGGATACAGAGTCATAAGCAAAGTTGAAAAAAAATTACTGTATTATTTATTCATGGAATGAATCCATTAATCAAATATATATTGACCACCTACAAACTGACAGGCAGGTCTTTGGATGCTATGGAAACAGAGACCAATTTGTCTCAGAGCTTGCCTTAAGGGAGCTTATAGTCTATAGGAGAGAGAGCAAAGAAGACAAAAAGTGAAATACATATGTTGTGTTTTATGACAGTCATATGCGCGTGACCAAGATGGTCTTAACATTCCCCTCAGCTTGACTAAACTTTAGACAGATTTCTTCTAGTCTATATGTCTCTGACATCCCTTTTCTTAGAGTATTTACTTTATAAAACTTGAAACTGCAAATTTTTTCTCTACTCCTTTGTAAAATATATAAATCTCCCAGCACCTACCCAACTTTACAACTCAGGAGAATCTTTCTCAAGGACCTGGAAACCTAACTTCAATAAGCAACGATCAGCAAACACAAATGGCCTAATCACATTGACCAACACCCTCTAAGGTCCTCTGTGCTTTTTCCACTGGCTCAACCCAGCGCTTAAAAACTGCTGCTTTTGTTTAGATAGAGGTGAGTTCATTTTTTCTTCCCTATTTCAGTAGTCTTGAATAAAGCCTTGCCATTTTTAACAAGTATGTGGTGCAATGTCTTTCTGACAAATCAAACCATGGCAACACAAAAGATTCCACCTGTGGGGTAATAAGATAAGACTTTTTCAACTGACATGACACCTGAGCTGAGATGGACAGCATGAGAATTAAATACACAGGGTGAAGAAGGGGCTGGTAGCATTCCAAGCAGAATGAGGGGCATTCCTACAGGCACAAGGGCATGGGGCTCTGGAGCATGGCATCGATTTCTTCATTTGAAAGCTTCTTAACAAGGGAAGTATATATACATAAAATACATATATAATAAATATATATTTAAATTTAAATTTTTCTATCTAAATTAATAAAATATACGAATACATCTGATTTTTAAAAGCAAATCTCTACAATACACTTCTACCAAAGTGATTTGCTTGTCAATTTCTGCTTTGTTTTTGTTGTAGTTAAGTACAAATCAGTTTCTGTTAAGAAATTTTAAAAGGTTAGTGTACTTTTTTTTGTGTGTGTGTGTGGTTTTTTTTTCGTTTGTTTGTTTTTTGTTTTTTTTT